GTTCGCCGCGGTGGGCTTCCTGCGGGCCGCGTTATTGCAGAGAAGCGAGCAACACCGAGTGAGGAGGGTCGGCCACAGTAATGGGGGCGAGGGGAGTATCGGGTCAGCGAGCTGTACGGGAGGAGTGGCATGGCTGTAAGGAGCCATGGGAAGATCTGCAGAGGTGATGAGCCTGCAGAGAGGGTCTGCAGGATTGGAGGGGTGTCTGGAGAGTTTGAGGGACATCATGGGTACGCAGAAGTGGTACGAGGTCTTGGGGACCATAGACAGGTAAAGGAAGGAGGGTTGTGCAGAAGTTGTGGGGGAGAGCACATTCGGGACTAGGGGAAGGAGAGTGGTCAGTGGCACTGGAGGATCACACGGACTGTAGGGAGATGTGTTCAGATAGCACCAGGGGCTACAATTAACACTCCTAGTCCGGAAGTGACAGCTCCTTTTGGGGTGGGGTAAGCAGGACGAGGGCTACAAGGTCTTGATACACTTATATTCACTTTATTAAATACGAGTGCTGGAATGCAGCAGGCATAAAAGGCCAATAAAACACAGGCACTGTGTTACAACCACTCTGTCTGGCCTGGTGCAGCACTGTGTCTTTGGGCTCATGTTACCACATGTGCAGGTAATTTTATGTTCCTACAGTGTAAATGGCAAGGGGAATTTCTTGGAGCTTCCTAATAGATCCTTAAAGTTGTAAAGAGCAGAACTCTAACGTGTGAGTTGGGTCTTGTATAAATGGAATAAAAACAGCCCAGGGTTATATCTTTTGTCATCTGGCAAGCAGTTGTGACATCTGCCCTGTGAACACAATGACCTACTTAGCCATTCAAAGCATCTGCATCCTGATAATTAAATTGTGATGTTATTGAGCAATTTCTGTTTGAATAGAGGGGTTTGCTAAGCAAGATTCTATTTCACTTCATTCCTAGAAATTTGTGTATTAGGAGAAACATCCTGAAAAGCCATGTGGTATCACGGGTGCCTTTGTGCATGTTTTACCTTGCCAGCACATCCCATCCCACGCTAGAATTTACTCCAGCATTCCTGACCTTCAGGAACAGGAAGAATGCATGTTTCTAAAATCAGGGCACTGTGTGTGTGTGAGGCGGGGGGTTAAATATATGTTTTGCCACTATTTGGTTATTGAAATTCACTACAAGTCTCAGGTTCTAACATTTATTTCCATTCTACCAGTTATCACTTTGCTACCAATATTGTCAAGAGAAAGAAATATTTCTGTGTGGCAGGTGGTTTTTCCTTTACCATGAAGCACTTTACTGTCAGGGTATAACAGTGTGTGACTGTTGACTTCCTATGATTAAATATTTGCCTAGAATCAACATCTTGGGGAATGTGCTCTAGCCATTGAAAATTTTAATCATGGCACTAGAAACAGTAGGATATACATAATACAGATGAGTTGACATCAGAAAGAGTTGATGACCTTCAGAAAGCAAGAAAATGATAGAAGTATGAACAAGGATTATTAAAGAAAGTTCCAGTGAGAAGTAAGCTTTAAATTTTGAAGTTAAGAATGAGCATGATTGAGTATGATATTTTTAAAAAATCAGACTACTCAGTGTAATTTATATTTCCACAACTGTACACAGTCTCCTTAGGTTTGAACACTGGCTCCTCCAACTTCTAGGTGTTTTACTTTAGGTAAGTTACTTAGATGTTTTTGGGCCACAGTGTCCTCATTTGTAGAATGAAAACAATAGGGTCTATTGGTTATTGCAAAGATTAAACTGGTTAACACATTTACAGCATTTACAACAGTAATATTCTCTAGTACATAGGGAAACTTTCAATGAATGTTAAATGTCACTGTTATTCTGGGTCATTGTGGCAATTAGTATTTTCAGATTGTCATAATTACAAGCTCCAAGTCAGAATGCATATTGAGTGTTGGCTTGTTTGTTAATAAGTGACTACTGTTTCCTTATGTATAAACTGGAGTGCGATAAGAGCACTTATGTGTTAAGTTAAAATAATATATGTAAACTTAGACTTACCAGCCAGCCTGGCTCAGACATAAGGCTGAAAGGGGGTTCGGGTGCCCTTTCGGGTGCCTCTTCCCAATTAGGCCACTCACACACACCGAGAGGTCCGGCAGGAGATCTTTATTATACGGAGGAGAGCAGGAGGCAGGAAGGCAGAGAGAGAGAGAGAGAGAGAGAGAGAGAGA